ACCCGTGACAGTTGCAGAACGTCAGTGATACAAATTAACGTTAATATTTTATCCAAATACGTACATATGGGATTTTTTTGTTTGTTATGCATTATTTTTTGAAGTTGAATTTTTTACTGAATTGTACTAAATATTAATAATAATTAATTAAATTAATTTTTAATTTAATTATATAATAATAATTAATACTAATCTGTATATTATTTTTATCACAGTTTTGATCTGATTCTTTATATTTAGAAAGTAAATTAACTACAATTTCAATATCTTCTTCAGGAATATTACCTTTATTATCAATTCTTGCTTTATAAAGTAAATTAATTACCTGCAAAATTTTGATCTTTTGTAAATGAACATTGTTGAGTATTCATTATATTTATATTAATAATAAATTATAAATATTAATTAAATAAATATTAATATTTTTAGTAATTATAATAAATTCAATAATAATTAATTTTAAATTCAAGCTACTAGCAGAATTACAGTAAACTTCAAATTTGGTAATGAGAGATAAAAAATATTCAGTTTAAAAATACAAATATCTTCATATCCAATGGACCAAATTAAATGAATTTGATATATTAGAAAGATCTAGTTAAGAAGCATTTAATGGTATCAAAATTATTGAATTTAATTTACTAGATGAAGAGATATCACATCTCAAAAATAATATAAAAAATTTTGAATAATTTTGTATGTTATTTTTGAAATATGATACCATTACATCTAGAAAACCAAATTTAATGATTTTGATACTATTAGAAAGATCTAGATAAGACATATTTAGATCTTTCTAATAGTATTAAAATTATTAAATTTGTTTCACTGAATACAGAGATATTTGTATTTTTTAAACTGGATATTTTTCTTTATCTTTCATTACCAAATTTGAAATTTACTGCAATTCTATTAATATCTTGAATTTTTAATATAAATTAATTTAATATTTATCAAGTTAAAAATAATTTAATTACTTACAAATTATATGATGTAGTTTATTACTCCAATCTTTGTGTTCTGTATCATTCATTCATGTTCAAATTTTTTTTTAAGTTCTTGATTTTCACATTCAATTAATTTTTGTAATTAAGGATAATGAGGATGATAAGAATAATCATGAATAATTTTCATTATAGAACATTCTTTTAAAAGCTGATTAATAATATCAGCAATAAATTCTTCATCATTATTAGCATGAAGAATTTTTGGAAAATCATATTCACTGAATATCTGAATTAAAAAATTATGAATAGTAATGCATCTTTTTTTGTTGCTACAATTCAAGAAAATCTTGAATAGTAATCACGTGCATGAATAATATATTTAAATTCATTATTCATATTTGATTCCATTGAAAACAGTATCAACTTATAAATTAATAAATAATTATTATATTAATAAACTCAAAATATTTAATAATTATAATTTTACCTGAAGTCTATCCATAAATTTACCTGTAATTATTGGTTTGCAAGCCATTTATTTTTGTATAGATCATGTAATAGCATAATAATTGCATTTATTGATTGCTGCATCCAATATAAGTTGTGATATATAACAATATCATTGATAAAACTAATAATAATTTAATTTTAATGTATTAGTTATCAAGCTATTATATTATTTAATTTTATATATACTAGTTGTTGAAATATAAATTAAAATTTACCCATTTTCAGATTGTATCTTGTTCTTTATGTTCACATTTCTGATGTACTTGACAAAATATATCATACTAATCTTCAAATGGAATAACTTGTCTGTCTTCAGATTTTAAATTCAACACATGTAATCCACCAACTTTATTAGAACAAATCTTTCTTTTGTCCAAAACTTCAATTTTGCATTATTAGCTTTGATATTTGAATTTTTGAGAATTTTGATACATTTTTGCTATTTTTCTAGTCATATAATACCCTTTTCATTCTTGCATTTTTCCATAAAAGTTGCAACAACTTGATTAAAAGTATTTTGAGATACTTCATAATTTGAATCAGTATAATTAAAGAGATCTTGTTTGTTCTCATTATTTTTAAAAGTTTCAATATGATTTACATTATCATAGTTTTGCATATTAGAATTTTCATCATTACTATCACTATTATTTTTGTCACTCATGATGAAAAAATTTTTTTGTATTATTCTCCTAACTTGGTAAGGATAATTTAGTCTACATTAATTAAGATTAGTGATACAAGTCAACGATGACCTGGTATTTTATTCCTTTGTTGGTAATATCAATTATCGTTATACGTACATATCGATATGTATTAACCGAACAAGATCAACAACGGTGAATCTTATCATTATGTCATCATTTATTAATTTATGTAAAATATTAGACGATCGATTTTCTATGCCATGTGTCAGTGTTATACATCGTTTCGGAATTCACGTCAATTCCGAATTGACGTACGTCGTTTCAGAATTCCAAAACGACGTACGTCAATTCGGAATTGACGTGAATTCCGAAACGACGTATAGCAGTTACGTCATTTTGGAATTCTGTTGACGTGAATCCCGAAACGACGTATATATATATATATATATATATAACAGTAACACCATCATCTAAATTGATAATCGAAAAGATAGCGATAACGATAAGATCTTTTTATGGCATCTAAAAAAATTGATCTACCTGTTTTTTAATCTCTATCTGTCTTTGAAAAAATAATTATCGTTATATGGAAGGAATACATGATAACGATAACGATAAAGATACATGGATCATTGAAAAAGTTTTGGAATTTCTAGTCAAACAAAATCAACTCTGGGAAAATGATGACTTGCTAGATACAAAAATCATCGCATTCATGGAAAATAATAAATACGAATCCAAGACTTTGTTTAAAATGGTCAATCAACATCAAGAAAAAGATAGATATTGGATCTTACTGGCTTATCTATACGAACGAGGACTAGGAATTCAATCTGAAAAAACGAAAGCATTCCGATGGTACCATAAAGCTGCAAAAATAGATGATCCAATTGCAATGCAAAAAATCGGAATTTGTTACGATGAAAGTATCGGTATCAACTATGACCCCATAAAAGCCAAATTCTGGTACAAAAAAGCTGCAGAAGCTGGAATGCTACGATCACAACTTGAGCTTGCCAAACACTATATTTATGGTATGGATAATAATAAACGTCTTCAGATTGAAGGTTTATATTGGCTTGAGAAGGTGGCTAATGCAGGTGTTATTTGCGGGATGAATTTACTTGCCAATACATATTATTTTATGAACGATTATCAAAAAGCGTTTTATTGGTATCAGAAATCTTATGACCATGGTTCGATTAGAGAGGATCTGGCATTCTTCCATCGAAAAGGATTCGGAACTTTAAAAGATACTCATAAAGCGATTAAATTTTTCTTGCATCCGAGTCAAGTTAACTCTCAATATCTTTCGGATATTTTCAACGATAAATAGAGAATTCGTTACGACTTCTATTGAAGCAGTGTTATTAAAATAATAATTACATAGACTATTTTCAAATGCTAAAAAATTTCAGATATTTTATTTTTAGCATTCGTATCCCTAAAATTTTATTATTCGTCTTTATTAATAGCCAGAAAGGGATAATTTAAGAGACTAACAAGACGCTCTATATATTAAAATAATTATTGCCAGAAACATACTACTCTAAGCCTCCTATATCTGTATTCTTCAATGTTTCATGTTATTATTCCCTTTTTCATGGAAACGAACAGCTGTTTCTCCAGTTGAAAAGCACCTTAAAATTTCCGTTTTCTTGAACACATAGTTCTATCGGCTACTATTTTCTCTCTAATTGTCACGCGCGGCGAAACACATCTCAGATTGTTAACAAAATAATTATTTTCAATTTGACATCTTTATATTTGAATTTGAAATGCAATACGTAATCAACATCACAAAAAATAAAAATCCCATATGTACGTATTTGGATAAAATATTAACGTTAATTTGTATCACTGACGTTCTGCAACTGTCACGGGT